TGAGCTGGCCTAAGGAGGTCTCTCACAGCATAGGAAAGAGCATGGCCAGAAACCAGGTCCCTCGAGGTGAAATCCAACCCTGCCTCTTACTATCTGGGTGACCTGGAGGATATCTGAGTCCCGCTCATGGCCTGTAAAATGGCAATATCAGTTCCCTCCTGGGAGGATTAAATGAAGCTCTATCAAATGCATGACTTTGATGAAGTGTTGCTATGAAAACTAAAGGTTAAGAATGCAGTGTCTATGGCGAGACAGCTGGGGTTTGCATCCCACTCTTGCTGGCTGGATAACTTTGAGCATGTTACTTAATCTCTCCGAGCCTTAGTTTCCTCGTGTATAAAATGAGTATAGCAAAGTAAATTGGGTTTAGCCTAACAGACAGGGGTATTGTGAGGATAAATGTGAATTATCCCTGAACTGCACATGGAGCTGCTCCTGGAACATTAAAAGCATTATGTATCTCCATCATCTTCATCATCACCATTGCTCATAATAAAAATGATTATCATTAAATAATCATTCATAAAAAGCAAGAGGGCAGCGCATAGTTTCTAAGAGCTTGGGTTCAGGAATTAAAAAGGCGTGAGTCCCAATTCCATTTTACAGATGAGAAGAAGGCTCAGAGAGGTGAAAGACAGTTGCTTTGGTTTCCTCATCTGTAAATGGGATTAATCCCAGAGACTCCACCCTCATAGTGAGGAGTCCAGAAAATGCTCAGAGTGGAGCCATCCAGCATGGTGGGCCATCGCCTTCCTCTGCCCCCACCCTTTGACAGATGGCCCATTGCCAACAGGGGCACGGAACTGCCCCAGACGGCCAGGCCTTGAAGCTCAGACCTGTGGGTGGCCCTCACCACAGGCATCTTGGCCCCGATTCCAGTGGCTGCCCCATCCTGTGGTTCCTGCCCCAACCCACCCCCAGGCCTTGGCACAGGATGAAAGGCTGAGCCCAGGCTGGGAAGTAGAGATTGCCGGGTGGGTGGAGAGGCAGAGGCAGAGCCAGCCCCAGGCCAGGGTGATCGCAAGGCACAAAGCGGAGCTGGGCTCCATGGGGAGCCTGGACCCCCAAAGAAGAGACAGGAACCTGTACAGACACCTGCCACTCGCCCTGCCTGGGGCTGGGGAGTCAGACTGCAGATGATCTGGCTGAGCGGTTCTGAGGGTCCCTCTGGCCCCAGCCCCATTGTGAGCTCACACCGTGTGATCTTGTTGAAGTCACTTTTTCCCACCTGGGCCTCAGTTTCCCCATTTGTGAGATGAGGGAGGTAGACCATATGACTTCTGGCATGTTCCGTTGTTCTGAGTCCTTATTGTCCTACCCTGACCTCTGCCTCTGTCTCTCTCTCCTGCACCATCCTCCTCCTCGGCCCCTCTGTATCTCTGTCTCTATCATCTTTCTTTTTCTGTCACTCTCCACTTCTCCCCATCGGTCTCCCTATTCCTCTCTTCTCACCTTGGTTTCCCTGTCTTCCCTGCACCCCACTTCTGTCTTGATCCTTGGAACAACCAAGGAATTTAGTCACCATGTATTGATGCGTGTGCCAGGCTCAGTGCTGGTGCTGGTGGTGAGCTAGCTGTGGTGGGGCTAGGGGCTTCCCAGAGGGGGAGGCTCTGAGACAGGCAGACATATTCCTCGCCACCAGTCTGTCTCTGGGGTCAGATAATGGGGGCTGGGGGGGCCTATGAGCAGGTCAGGAAAGGATGGTGCCCAATGTGGGCAAAAAAACAAGACCAGGAATTAATGTTCAATCCACCTGAGACAGAGAGACTCCGCCCATCCCTATGCCTCCCTAGAAGCAGGGATGCAGGCTGCTCGACCTCCCCGTACCCTAGCTCTGTCCCCCGTGAGGTGACTGTGATGAAATAAGGCAGGCGGGGCTGCAGAGTGACCAGGCCACACGGATAAAACACTTAACACCCAGTAAGCGCTCACTAAATGGAGCCGTCGATGTCCAACTCACATCTGCCTCTATAAAGCATTTCTCCTATGCTCGTTGTCACCTTTTCTGTGCAGCATCCAATAGGGACACTTGTGCTCCCCAGGGGTAGAGACCTACCAAAGACCACGCAGCACATAGTGGCTGAGTCAGGACTCAAACCCAGGTCTCCTGCCTCCCCAGGGCTCCCCCTTTCCCTGCCCCCGTGCTGGCAGCCCATCACTGGCTGGGTCAGGTGGGAAGGTGGAGCTGCTGCCACTGGCCAGGCTTTCTGCTGTGTGCGCGGGACTCACAATGGAAAGTGCTGCAGTGGCCCAGGCGGGTCTGCCTGGTCTCCCACCCCCTGCCAGGCCTGCTGAGCCAGCTCCCGCTTTGTGCCACAGACCATAGGGCCTGATGTCTGCCAGACTATAAAATGGGGGGTCGGCCCCTAGTCACCCACAGCGCCCTCCTGCCCGCCTGCCTGTCCTCCAGCAGGAAGTAGCAAGTCCCCAGGTAAGAGAGAACCTACCATGCTGCTGAGAGCTGAAGGGGAGGAGACAGCAGAACAGAGGCAGAGAGAGAGAGAGGCAGAGAGGGCAGTAAGTGAGAGAGTCGGAGAGGCAGGGCAACCAAGATAGAGACAGAGAGAGAGGAAGAAAGGGAGAGGGAGAAGGGGGCAGAGAGAGAACAGAGAAGACAGAAATAAACAGGAGAGAGAGACGATGTCAGGGTGGTAATAAAGAATAGATAAAGAGAGACAAGCGGAGAACTGGGGAGAGAGAAACAGAGACAGAGACAGAAGGGCAGGCAGAGAGAGAGGGAGAGAACTAATGGTAGAAATAGAGAGACAGGCAGAGGGAGGAAGACGGAGAGGGAGAAGGAGAGAGAGAAAGAGCATCTCCAGGAAGAAATGAGTCCAGCCACCAGCCTGGAGGCGGTTTCATAGACTTGAGGGGGGCAGCAAAGCTAAAAGCCACATATGTGGCCCAGACATCTGGCCTGCCCATGGCGCACAGAGCACCCCAGAGTCTTCCTCAGGGGAGGTTGGGGGTGGGACCTGCTTGCCCCACCTAGCTCCTTCTCACAGAGAATGTTCAGGAATCAGCCAGACCAGAGGGTCTTCATCTGCGCGGTCAGGGGGTCATTGCATTCCCTGAAATTGTCTCCAAAATTAAAGGGGACTTTATTTTTCTGGGGACAAGTTCAAGGTGTTCATCAGACACTCAAAGAAAGGAGTCCATGACCCCATGAGCCATGAGGAACCACTGTAACTGACCAGAGCCCTCTCCACCCAATGCCCTCACAGCCACAGTCCTCATTCTCAGAACCCTCCACATGCAGTAAACAGGGGGTCCCCTGGGGTCCTCCTTCATGCCCTAGTCCCCACTTCTGTTTCTACACACACATACACACACACGCACAGCATGCCAGAGGCAGCAGACTGGGAGGGGAGGTGGGAACATGCTTTCATTCCCTCTCCTGTGTGCTGGTTGTGGGGCCCCAGCTCTAGGGATGGAGGGGTGGATGAATCCAACCCAGTAAAGGCAGAGCGTTTAATAACCCAGTTGCTGGGTCCGCTTGAGTTGAAATCGGAGCCCCATCACTTAGTCGTTGGGCTTGGGCAGGACACCTCCCCTCTGCAAGCCTTAGACTGCTCAGAGGGGAGAATGATAGCAGCTACTCAGTGGGGTGGGGTCAGGGTCAGGGTCAGAGGAGTTCATTAATGCATGCACCAGTGCCTGCATCCCTTAAGTTCTTCCAAATGTGACTTGTTATTGACCTGGTGAGAAATATCAAAGCTGCACATGCAATTAAGTGTGATGAGTAGTGTGGAAAGAGGCAGGGGGCTCAGGAAGGACCTAGCAGTGTAATTGGGGGTAGGAGGGAGGGTGCGGCTGGTGGAGGGAATAGCGTGGACAAAGCCTGGAGGGAAGATATATTAAGGGTGAGTGGTCCCCAAACAGGGCATTCTTGGCTAGGGAGCAAGGATGGGACAAAAAATCTTCCAATCTTACATTTCAGGAGAAGGAGAGGAAATGAGTTCAAAGAAGCCTGGAAACACAGGGTGAGGGGGTCTGAGAGCAGGAGACAGCTGGAGGGTGCGACCTCCGAATTCACCTAGGCCAGAGGTTTCTTCACAGGTTTTTGCAGGTGGGAACCATGTCTCAGGCTGCAAAGGCCGCCACGGCCTCAGCCACCACGGCGGTGAACCCAGCGTCCGATGGCAAGGGAAAGGGGACCTCACCCACTGCACCAGCCTCAGGCCCCGGTCCTGCCCCGGCCCCGGCATCCGCGCCCACACCCAGTGCCAAAGCAGGGGACCTGCCTCCTGGGAGCTACCGGGTAAGGACCTGGGGGTGGGGTGGCTGGGCTTCACCCCTCTGCCTCCTCCTCCCCTTCCTTCCTGCCCCTTCTCAGCTTCCACCTCCCCCTCCCCCTCCACTTTCCCCTCCCCCTCCTCCTCCTCCCCTCTTGCTCTCTCTTCTCCTTTGTCTATTTTTTCTCTTTTCTCCTTTTCTTCTTCTCCACCTCCCCGTCCTTTCCCTCCTCTTTTCTCCCTTTCCTTCTCCTTCCCAGACACAAACATGGCCCAGCTAATCTGGGAGCCCAGGAAAATGGCTGGGACTTTCAACACACCTACAAAGAAGGGACTTGTTCTGGGGTTGTAAAATAATAACAACAACTAAAACGCAATGCTTCACAGCTGCAGGGACACCTGCAGTCGTGCCAGACCTGCACGAGCACGTGCTCAGAGTTTATCGAAAGCTAGAAACAGAAAGAGAAGGAAACTAAAACGCAATGCTTCACAGCTGCAGGGACACCTGCAGTCATGCCAGACCTGCACGAGCACGTGCTCAGAGTTTATCGAAAGCTAGAAACAGAAAGAGAAGGAAAGGAAGTGGTCTGGCTCAGCAGCAGGACCCACCTGTCTGGGAGGTTCACCAGGGCAGCAGGATGACCTCAGACCCTCCTGGAAATTGTTCAAAGTGATTCAGGCTGAAAGCAGTCCTGGAGAGCAAGTTGTCCAGTCCTCTGGAATTTGGCTTGGTTTGGTTTGGTTTCAAACCTCAGGTGCATAGAGCTGGGTCATTTTGCAAGGCTTGGTTCATGACACGGTTTCACGTGGTTCATGCATGACTGGCTTTTATTTATGTAGTGACTTATTTAATAGTTAATTTTTATTTAATTTATAAGAATGCAACAGGTGCCTGCAAACCCACCACCCATATAAAAGCCAGGACTTGGTGAAAATCCTCTTCCTAACTCTAAGGTGCCCCCCATGAGCCCACTGCCTCCCTCCCCAGCTCCAGGCAACTGTCATCGTGTGTCCATCATCTGCTTGCTTGTTTTTTTAATGCTCTTTTATGCATTATTCCTTTATAAGTATATATTTTCATTTTACTTCTGTTTAACTTATTGAAATATGTTGTATGTGATTACTCTGGGTCTTTCTCCTTGCTTTTTACCTACTGTGAGGTCCCTGATATCCATCCATGCTGTTGTGCATCCCTGTGGGGCATTCATTTTGGCTGCTGAATGATTCTGCAGAGTGTGACCATCACTATCCTACTGAGGACAACTTGGGTGGCTGTTAGCTCTGCTGTTGAGAACAGCCTGGCCTGAATGTTCTCATCCCTGTCTCCTGGGGCCCTACTGCAGGAGTTTCTCTTGTGTGGACAAGAGCAGGAGAGGAAGTGCTGGGTCAAAGCTATGTGAACCTCCTCCTTTTACAGCTGGGGAAATTAAGGCTCAAACAAGGCAGACAATTGCCTCAGTTCAAGTGAATAGCAAAGTTTTCCCAATCTGGGCCAGCAAGTTGGTAAAGAACCAAAATGAGAGGCTTGGTGAGGACAGAAGCTTAGCTCAAGTTCACCCCTGTGATGTGAAGGATAGACGGGACGGTGTTCCCTAAGAATCAGCTCTGTGGCAGGTGCTGGGCTAGGGCTGGAGATACAGAAATGGATCAGCCCTAGGCCCTGCCCTGGAGGAACCCTTGGTCTTTGTAGGGCTTGGGTAAGAAGGGAGAGAGGTGCACACACAGAGAGAGAAACACCCAATGCAAAGAAGCACTGACTGTGTAGTGTTGTTACTTGTGCTGCTAATGGGGTGAGCAGTGTGGGACACAAACCAAGCCTTCATTGGGGGGTGGGAGCGCAATCAGGAAAAGCTTCCTGGAGAAGGTGACAACTGAGCCTAGAACAGAAAACAGTACATGACATCTAGCTTTGAACATGAGTTAGGGAACATGAGTTAGGCAGTGGGAGCTCCAAGATGGGGGTGTGTGGTGCAGAAGGCATTTCAGGCAGGAGGATTAGCACAGAGAAAGTTCTGGAAGGGAGATTCACCAGTTCCTAATGATGACACAGACCTTAAGTTCACAAGTGGGGAAATGGGAAGACAGGATAATTTCACAAACTGTGGCTCATGACACATTCTCACGTGACCCATGTTCGGCCTGTTTTGATTTATATAGGGACTTTACTTACTGTATTTTTGACTGAGAGCCTTTCCAGTTTGGAGGTACTCCTCCCTATTCACTCTCCTCCTCGGCGTGGGGACTTCTCTCCTGCAGCTGGTGGTCTTCGAGCAGGAAAACTTCCAGGGCCGTCGGATGGAATTCTCCGGGGAGTGCCCGAACCTGGGAGACCGTGGCTTCGACCGAGTGCGCAGCCTCATTGTCACCTCGGGGCCGTGAGTGTTGGGCGGGGGAGGGCAACTCCCTCTGCTATAGTAAAATAATAATAGCACATTAATAGTAGCTGCCATTTACAGAGCACCTGCAACCATACTAGTGGCACATATATTACTTCCAATCCTCATTTCGAACCTGAGAGGGAGGAATTATTCTCCTTCCTCTTTTACAGATGAGGAAACTGAGGCTCAGAGAGGTGATCTGATTAGTGTAAGGTCACACTGACAGTCCTGGTTCTGGGCTCCAGAAAAACACTGCTTCTACTATATAAGGAACCCTAGCCTGTCACTAAGGGCAGGAGGAGGCCAAAGAGCCAAATGTTCACTCTATCCCCTCTCCTGGGCATCAAACAACCCCTGGAGTAATAGTAAGCATCTGTAGAGCACCCACTAAGTGCCAGGCACAGACTGAGGGCTTTACCTAGATGACTGCACCGCAGTGTATGAGAGAGGGGCTGTTCTTATCCCCATTTGACAGATGGGGACAGTGAGGCTCAGAGGGGTTAAGGTTTTTGGCCAAGGTCACCTAGTGGTAAGTGGCAGAGCTGAGATTTGACTCAGGCTGGTTGATTTTATTCCCAGTGCTCTCAATCACCATACCTCACTGCCTGTTTCTGGCTCTCTGGGCTTTGCTGGGCCTTAGTGACCCCCGAGAAAGCAGCAAAAATCATCTCTTGGACAGAGGTGCTGCCTCAGCTCCAGCTCCTGTGTGCTGAGGTCAAGGTGCTGGGCCAGCCCCAGGATAAGACCCACGTGGCCTCTTTGCTCTCATCTCCCCCCTCAGAAAGCCCCAAAAGGGTATGGTCAGCCTGTATTCTGAACATCGTGGGGCTCTTTGCAGTACAAAGAGCAGAGATGGACTTTGAGGTCAAGCCCTGACTCCCCCATTTGCCTCATTTAGTTTCCAAACCTGTTTTCTCATCTCTAAAATGGGGACAGTGACAGTCCCCACCATGCCTCCCGGGATTATTCTGAGACCTGGCACTTCGTGGCCACCCAAACATGGCAGGTGACTATGATGACTGTTTATCCTCCTCATGGCTCTGGGAATTCAGCCAAGTCATCCTGGTCCAGAGTAAGCTCTGGGGGCCATGTCTACCTCCTGCACCCACCCCGCCCCCGGTGTGGTCAACACAACCTCAGCCCCACCCTCAGCCCCAGAGCTAGCTGGGAACAGAAACTGCCGGATGTGGCCAGCTTGGGTTTTCAGGCTTTTTTTGGTGCCAGTGACTCAAACCCAGAGTATTTCTCCTCAAACAAAGATGCAGCTGATTTCTAGTGTGTACTCTGGGGCTGTGCCTGATGGGGAAAGAAACGGCCTGTAATCCAGGGGTCTGGATCTGGGTCAGAGGTGGCTGAGCAGTGAAATAAACAGGTGCGGAGAAAGGATGAGGAGGATGAGGTAGGCAGGGGAAGGGAGTAGAGGCGTGCCCTCAGCACAGGGGTGGGGAGGTGTGCCTGTCTGAGACTTCAGCCTGACACCTGACACCTGACACCATCGTGTGCCAGCCGGTGACTTAACCCCTATGAGCCTCAGTTTCCATATCTGTAAATTAAATTTTTCACTCTACCTCTCTTCTGGCATTGACATAAATATTTTAAATTTCTCACTCATACGACAGCTCTTCACTGGTCCTCCTGAAGAGGACAGGAGAGGTTTTGGGGGAGGGTGGGCTGGATGGCAGGACCACATCAGTGTCTGTCTTTCTATAAGCCCAGACCTCCAGTAGCTTCCCTCCCTCTTTAATCATAAACATTTTTATTTATGGTGCTTATTCTGTGCTGGATCTGTTACATGCGTTCCCTCTTTTAGGACCTCATAACCTCATGAGAAGGTAGATGCAATCAGTGCCTCTCTTTTACCAAAGCTTAGCATGCTTAAGTGACTGCCCAAAGTCACACAGCAAATAAACAGCGAGCTGGGATTAGAACTCAGGTCTGTCTGTTTCCAGAGTTTATGTTCTTAACCTCACTGTGATACCACCTTCCAAGGCTCCCTTCCCATCTATGTTTCCATCCATCTATTCATCATCCATCTACTTACCCGTCCATCTATCCATCTATCTGTAGATCAATCCATCCATCCGTCCATTCTCCATATGTTTATTCATCTATCTACTTGCCCCTCCCCCATCCATCCATCCATCCATCCATCCCTTCATCCACCTATCCTTTTCCCTTCATTCCAGATAAGACAGGTCTGAGGCAGATTCAACTCTACTCGGAGAGGATGAGTCTACATCTTCAATTCTGTCACTTCAGTGTGGGTGGCTCATCCCTCAAACAAGGACCTGTGGCTCCTGGGACACATACTGTCTCAGTCCATGGTGGTAGCTCATTACCCATCTCCTTATGGGGAGAGGAAGGTTTCGGCAACTCCCAGGGAGATGATGCTAGTGTCAGTGTCCTCTCAGCCCTCTCTTGTTCCCTGAGAACTCCAGAACACATATAGAGCAAAGGTCAAGGGGCCTTGTTCTCAGCCTTCTGAGGACTGGGGGTCATCCTATTTCCCCCCAACCCCTGGTCTCTCCAACACAAGCTCACTCCCTATCCTTAATCAAGCTATACTTGGAAAGCCAGGAAAAGTCCTCATTTGACTTTAAATTTTAATTAGTCCTTGTAAAAAACTGAACACCTTCATATACTCTATCATATTTAATTCTCATAGGTGTCCGAGAGGTAGATTGTCACCATCATTTCCTTCCACTATCCCCATACCAGCTACTGAGCGTCTCCTGTATGCTGGGCCAGTCTTTATCCTACATAAGATTCAAGCCCCTGTGTCAGTTTTTACCTTACCTCTGTATCTCAGACTATTATTTATTTAATATATTTCATTTAAAATGATCCTTCTAATCACAAATAAATATATTTTAAAAGAATCTTTACATCATTTTTGTAAATGGAATGCTAGTGCCACTTGCTACAAATAAAAGGTATCCATAAAAAATTAATATAATGAACACAAAAATGATACTATTATACCATTGCCTGCCCAAAGCTCTGGGCTGGTGTCTTGTTTTTCCTTTGTTACAAAAAGAGAGATTAGAAAGGTTTAAGGACATATTAACATCAAACAGAAACTTTTTCCTAGCTCTCATCAGGCTTAAAAGAAAATGTCTCTTTATGTGTTATTTGACTCCAGGTCCTTATAGTATGCAGTCAAATCATGTGTGAATCCTACATCTGGGGAAATAGTTTTCTCAGATAATTACATGCATTATTTCATTTAATCCTTCACCAACTCCAGGAAAATAGTGTATTAGTGTAGATGAGGAAACCGAGGCTCAGAGAGGTGAAGACACTTGCCCATAGTCACACAACCAGTAAGTAGTATAGCCTAGAATCAAATCCAGACATGTTAGGCCCCCTTTGGACTTTCCTACTGGTCTCAGGCTGCCTTGCAAGTGGGGAGGGGGTCTTCGGCTAACAATTTCTCTCCTGTCTGCCTTTGCCCCTCCTGGCTCTCCCCACCCTCATGGGTCTTTCTTATGTCCAGCTGGGTCGCCTTTGAGCAGTCCAACTTCCGCGGGGAGATGTTCGTCCTGGAGAAGGGAGAGTACCCGCGCTGGGACACGTGGTCGAGCAGCTACCGCAGTGACCGGCTCATGTCTTTCCGGCCTGTCAAGATGGTGAGTGGCCCCAGGCTGGGGCTGGGGAGTCAGTGGGGCGGGGCAGGGACCGGTCTGACTGAGCAAGGGAGAGAAGGAGGGGATGGTGGACAGGGAGGTGTGACAGCCATTCTCATGCTCATCAATTCATCAGGCGTCCCAGACACACTCACTATGTACCCAGCCCCGTGCTGGGACCCCTGGGCAAATGATAAACACAAAACCTTCCAGTTGTTAGAGCTAGAAATTTCTGCATTTTCCTTGATTCTCTTTGTAGAATGTTTCTAATCCCTGGCTGCACATTAGTGTCTCTTCGGAAGCTTTCAAAATCCTAATGCCCATCCAAAACACCAAACATGCAGGCTGAAGATCACACAAGGGCTAAAAAGAGGGATATTGTGGAAAGACAGCTTGAACTTCTTGATAATAAGACAACATGCTGAGTTAGTCTATGATAATATTTAACTGAGTAAGCTTAAAGAAGATTCAAGGCCAAGATAGGTGAATATATCCTCAAGTGGTTCACAGTATTTCCAGAATTATCTTCACTATGAGTTATGAACCAGCCACATCTCACTCACCAATGTTAGTCTCTGATGGTAGCCAACTTTTGTCTTCATCATGGGAATATTCATGAAGAATTTTCATGAATGTCCATTTGAGGCTATCAGGTGCCAACACCAACTGTTTTGGCAACACCAAATTTATCTTAAGCCAGATCATTCACAGTGTTTTTTCTCGGAATTCAAGGCTGAATCTTCAGCCTTCATAGTGCGCTCTTTGTAAGAATTAATAGATTTATCTCTCAATCATTGAATGGCCCTTATGTGGCAATCTATGTCAAGGAAGCTTGTGTGGAAGAGTGACCAGCCAGGGCATTTCCAGTAGCTTCTAAAAGTTGGCTGTTCTCTGCCTCGGTGCCTTCAAGGCAGTAGCTATATGTGTCTATTGAACACTTGAGTTTTGGCTAATCTGAAGGGAGATGTGCTATAAGTGTAAAAAACACACCAGGTTTTGAATACATAGTAAAAAAAATTTTTTAAAAGAATGTAAAATATCCTGTTGATATTTTTATATTGGTTATATACTGAAATTAGCATACTTTGGTTGTATTTGTTTAAATAAAATATATTACTCGAAATTTTGGGGGCTGTCTGGTTAGCTCAGTTGGTTAGAGCATGATGTTATAATACCAAGGTCAAGGATTCAGATACTTGTACTGGCCAGTTGCCAAAAAATTTTTTTAAAAATCCCAATGCCCAGACACCATCCCAGACCAGTTCATTCTGAATCTCTGGGGCTGTGACCCAGCCAACGATATCTTTATCCATGACCCCTAGGTAGTCTCTCTGTGCAGCCAAGGCTGAGATTCAATGGTCTAATCCCTGCTTTCTATTCCCTGCCACTATCCTGATCCAGGCTACCAACACTGGGTTCCCTGACTTCTTTTCAACCCCTCTCCTGGGAAGTTAGGAGGATCTTTCCAAAATAAAAACCTGACCATCTCTACTTAAACTCAGGCATTCGACCACTATAGGTTTGTCTGTTTCTACCAGGCTCTGTTCTAGGCTCTGGGTGTACAACTGTGCATTGGACAGACATTGCCCTCATGGGACTTATGCTGTACCCAAGGAGGCAGCTATTGAAAACCTAATCATGGAAAGCTATCTATAATCACACACTGTGATATGTGCTGCACAGGGGTTGTGCAATCTCGCTAGGAGAGTGGAAGAGGGATCTGATGTTGGAGGTGGGAGTGGTCAGGGGTGGTTGAGGGAACCAGCTCCCAAGGGTTGGGAACTGAATAAGCCATGGGAAGAGTAGGTGGAAAAGCCCTCCAGGGAACAGTGTATGCAAAATTCCTGAAGCAAGGATAAACTGGTGTGACCAAGGAAATCAAAATCAGCCAGTGTGGCTGCAGTAGAGGGAGTGGATAGGAAAGAGACATAAGACGGGAGAGGGGCCATCAGCAGAGGCAAGGTCCTGCAGGACCTCACAGGCCACGGCAAAGAGTTTGGTCTTGACTCCACCAGCAATGGGGAGCCATGGACTGGCTTAACTTTCTCAAGGCCTTCAAAGCTTTAAAAGTAATTAAGTAATAGTTGTTACTACTAATTGAGCACTTACCATGAGCTGGTAATTCCACTCAGAGCATTTGTCATTCCATAGCTTAAAGGATTCCCTGTGCTCCCATCCCTGTCTTGAACCATGTATGTGCCCTCTGGCACCCTGACCACACAGATATTTGTTTTTCAACGCACCCACCCTGCACATTCCAACCTCCCAGGCTTTCCCAGTGCCTTCTCCTCTGCCTTGGTGCCTCTCCTCACCCTCCATCCCTTCTCAGCCTTGCACACTCCTACTCAACCTTCGAGGCCCCTCTCAAGTGTCACCTCTTCCATGAAGCCTGCTCTGATCCACTTTCTGTCCCTCTGGAGGAATTAACTGGCCCTTTCCTCATCTACAATCTTCTATTGGGGTCTTCCATAGAGGCTGCACTTACATCCTCAGCCCTTCTTCCTCCTGGTGGTGAATAATACTAGATAATCATAGCACCCATTTATTGAACACCTACTATGTGCTGGGGGCTTTACCTGCCCTTCGTGTAATACCTGCAACAGTCCTATGAGGCAGAGGCTGTTGTAACATTCATTTTAAAGACAAAGAAACTGAAGTTCAGAAGTGGAAAATGACCAGCTTAGGGCCACACAGCTGGGAAGTAATGGGGCTGGGATTTGCACCCAGGTCCGTGCGACAGAGACACCAAGGTTGGCATCACTCTGCTATGATTTCCTGTTCATCTCCATGGCACTTCATTCCCTTGGGCTTGTAATATCTCATGATAACTTCTAAAAAGATGGATGATTCTTGTCTTCAGAAATAACAGGCCAACTTAAAAAACAAGACATATAGTCATGAAAGCATTAAAAATGGATGCAAGCCAGAGTTGAATCATGTGCCCAGATGCGAGGGTGGGCCTGTTACATAGTTGACACTCAACCATGGGTTGAGTAGTTGTTACTCACAATCTCGTGAGGTAATAGTAACCCCATTCTGTAGATGAACAAACTGAGGCTCAGAGGGGCAAGGTAGATGCCAAGGTTACCAGCACATAAAATATCAGAGGAAGGATTTGAACCCAGATCTGTGTTCCTTTCCAGTGCCACACGGTGCCCCAGAGTCAGTTTGTAACTTTTACCCAGTTTGTAAGAAACGTATCCAAAAGGGCAGTGGTTTAAACTCCTGGTGGCACAGAGAGACCAAATGCAATGTTTCTTCAAAAGTTTCTGCCCCTCACTGGCTGTGTGATGTTGATCTAGAACCTTGACCTCTCTGAGCCTCTTGGTCCCTGACCATAATAATAAAAATAATAAATACATTTTTTGAGCACTTGGTGTATGCCAGACATCATGCTCAGTACTCTACATGGATTAAGTCTTTTCATCCTCATGACAGCCCTATGACATGGGGGCTGTCATCCACTTTTCGCAGACTAGGAGGGTCCTTTCTGGCCAGACAGCAGCAGTCCTGGGAGAGTCCCACAGTTGCCTGAGCAGACTCGGCTCTCTCTCCACTAAGTTAGTTCTCTTTGCCCCATTCATACACCACACACCTGACCCAGCCTCTCCTTCCTCAGGACTCCCAGGAGCACAAGATCTGCCTATTTGAAGGTGCCAACTTCAAGGGCAACACCATGGAGATCCAGGAGGATGACGTGCCCAGTCTCTGGGCCCATGGCTTCTGTGACCGCGTGGGCAGCGTGAAGGTCTCCAGTGGAACGTAAGCATCCCTCTTGCCAGGTCCTTGTCCCCTGCTTCAAGCACAGACAGACCCAGAGGCTGCCCTCCTTATGGGACAGAACAGCAGATTCCTAGGAAAGGCCACGGCCCCTCCCAGTGCTGGTCCCCGGGATTTGCCAATAGAGCTTCATTCCTCTGGGGTGTGGAGTCATACTTTGATGGGTTCCACATCAGTTATAAACAAATCTGGCAATGGGTTCTAAAATGCTGGAAGATGGAGAGAATAGGAGCTGCTAAACCCAAGTTGTGGTCAGAAGGAATAATCAAGTCAGGGGGTCAGAGCCAATGTGGATGGATAATTCTGGATGTGTCTACTGAAACAGAATGTTCAGGGAAATCCAGAGCCTCTGAAGAAATGAGTAGAATGACTTCTGAGAGATGAATCTGTATATGAGAAGGCCTTGACTCTGTTACTGTCATGTTGAGGGACTTGGGTGAGCCTATACTCCTTTCTGTGTCTCAGTGTTGCCAGCTATACAATGGGCACACCAGATCCCCTCCTCTAAAGAGGCACTTTCTGCTTTGAACTCTCAGGATTTGAAGCTTTTAAAACAGATCCCCAGGAGAACACAGAGAAGGGCTGAATGCACAGAGGAGGTCACTTTGCTGGGCACCCCTGATCTCCTCTAGACAGATTTCAGCCTTCTGTCTCTCCACCCCCAGACCCTCGGAGCTTATGTAACACCATCAGGGCCCTGGCCTTTTTCTTGACTCTTCCTTCTTCCCAGAAGCCTGTATCCATGCCATTCAAATCACTAAGCCTTGTCTATGTGCTAGGCACTGTGCTAGGCACACTGGGGAGGCAGAAATGAATAATTCCCAGTTCCTGCCTCCAAGGAGCTTACTCAGCCTAGCAGGGGAGACCCAAAAATACCTGTGAGATACCATTTCACAATACTGTTTAACAATACTAGGTAAGAGATGGTCCACACAGGGCATTGGTGCTGCTGGAGGTCACAGGAGGAAGGAAGGTTTCTGGGACCTGGTTATGTGTGTTGGGTGGAAGGCAGATCAGAGGTTTGTCTGAAGAGGCTGGAACTTAAAACAGACTTTGAAAGATGGGCAGGGAGTCTGGGAGAAGCCTGGAAAGACCGTCCCAGCAGAGACAATGACAGAAGTTAGAAATGAGTTATTGATAGCAATAACTTTTATTGACTGCTTGCTATATACCAAGCACTGTACTAACCAATTTAAATGAACAGTTATTGAATCTTTATAAGAAACCAATGAGGTAGGTGCATGATCATCCCCATTTCACAGACAGTAAACTGAGTTCTGATAACTCATCTACCTAAATTTTCATGGCTTGTAAATGGCAAAACTAAGATTTGAACCGAGGTATGTTTGATTCCAGAGCATGTGTTCCCAACCACTGCAAACAAATTCACTTACATACAAAGGCACCCCATTGTTTGAAATAAGCCTCCTCCCTCTTATTTACTCTTTGCTAACCAGTTGCTGAACCCCATCCTCACAGTGGTCATCACATTCAGTGGGATGAGTATTAATGTCCCTACCATATGCAGGCAACATGCTTAGCAAACACTCGAAGTGCATTTTCCCACTTAGTCCCCCAAACACCCATAATAAAACAGGAACTGTGACCATACCCACTTTCTAGAAGAGGAAACTGAGGCCTGTCAGAGAGGAGAAGTCCTTGCACAAGGGCACACAGCAGGAAGGGGCAAAGCCAGGACAGAGGAGCCCCATGTGACCCAAGCCTGAGCCCCCAGAGCTGAGAGAGCAGCCTGCAGGGGTAGGTGGAGAACAGGCTGGTCCAAGCAGGGGCCAGGTGCCAGGCAGTGGGGCTGCCATCTCCATGCTGTCCTTCTTGCTTTCCTCCCAGCTGGGTCGGCTATCAGTATCCTGGCTACCGCGGGTACCAGTACCTCCTGGAGCCTGGCGACTTCCGGCACTGGAATGAGTGGGGGGCCTTCCAGCCACAGATGCAGTCCGTGCGCCGCCTGCGTGACAGGCAGTGGCACCGTGAGGGCTGCTTCCCTGTCCTGGCCACTGAAGTCCCCAAGTGAGTCGACGCTTCATTGCACACCCTTGCCGCACCCCATCCTCAGCCTCAGTTTCCCCATCTTTCCCATGCAAATAAAAGTTCCTAAAGCCAAAATGTCTCCTGGGTCTGTGAACAAATGTGTGCCTCAGGTCCTCCATCATTATTTTTAATAATTATAATAATAACAAAAGCAGCAAACACCGCAAAGTTTTTTATACACATGATCTTAGTATGTCTTTCAGACTACCCTAGGGGACTGGTGTTATAATTATTCTCATTTAATGCATGAAAAAATTGAGGCTCAGAGAGGGGAAGTGACTTGCCTAAGGTCACACAGCTAGCGAGTCTGGATTTGAACTCAGGTAGTCTGGCTTCAGAGCCTGCGCTCTTCAATAAATCTGTTTTCAAACTCTAGGCTTTCATGCACCACTCATGATTTTTTTGCTCCATCTGCACTGTATTATTTACTTAATATTTTTATTTAAATAGACTTACTATTTTGTGCTTAAATGTACTGATTTGTAAATAAAACTTTATGATGCTATGGGAAGTATCATATACCATAGATAGAAGGCAATCATAAATAAATCAAATACAATTTAAACAAGGCCAAGGATCAAATTCCCAGCAGACATCAATGTCTGCCAAAGGCTCTCAGCCTGCAATCTTTTCCCTCTTTGACAAAATGGGTGATTAGCAGGTGTCAGAGAAAAGTACAAAAAACATGCTTGCATGAAACTGAGATTATTTTCCCTCAATTTAATCAATGAAGATTGAAAAGAGCATTATTTTCTAGTTTCTGATTAGTGTTATTTAATCCTGGGTCCAGATTCCACCTAGAATCATCTCTCTTAGAAATCTCTATCAGGCACTATTGACTCCCATATCAACAGTTAACCCTGATTGATGTTATTAGCTATTAATCTGTGCAGAAAGTGTGGCAGGAGGGCTGTGTTGCTTTCAATATCTTCCTGGAGGAGGGAGTATTTGAAGGGACTCAAAGGATGGGTCACTGGGCTGGCTAGTTAGCACAGCTGGTTAGAGTGTGGTGCTGATAACACCAAGGTCAAGGTTTCTGACCAGCTGCCAAAAAGCAAAACACAAAAAGCAAAAAGGATGGAGCACAAGTTTCCTTGATGGTGAATGGGGGAGATGATATTCCAGGCAAAGAAAACAGCAGAGTTCCTGCTACCCCATATGGCACCTTTGTACAAATAATATAAAGATGCCTCTTCCTCAAGACATTTTACTGCCATCTGCCAGGAATTACTGGTATAAATCTGTGATGCCCATGATGTGAATGTGGCACCTTTGTGCTGTGCCCAACTTGCACAGCTGTACTTGGCAGCCCTGGAGCACCATGAGCAAAGGCAGAGAGGTTGAGAGAGTTGTTGTGGTGGGCTCAAGTGAAGCTTACTGAGATGGGAACAGTAGCTTGGTGGTTGTGTGGGCAGAAGTGGGGGACGGGAAGGGGTTGCTGAGTGTAACAGCTGATGAAGTTGGCAAGAAAGGTGAGGCCTTGTGACATCCCACTCTGTGGTTTTCCTGAGCTTCAAAGTTGAGACACCACCTCACATAGCCTTCCGCAGGTCTTATCTCTGATGTACTCACCTTCTCTCTTATTCCCACCCTAGTTCTCCCCACCTCCACCCATTTGGCCAGCATCTTGGACTAGAAGACAGAGTTGCCTGAGGACCAGGATTCCTGGGCAGAAATAAGGAGATATAGGTGTCAACCATGCTCTACTGTTAAAAGCTGGAAAGAATTGGGCAAACTGCTTCCATTTCTTGGGATTCATTCTTCCCTTCTGTAAAATGACAGCTCAGATGTCCATCCAGCCCCAAGATTCTGTGGTTCCAAAGTTCCACGGTTCTCTAAGATTCTGTAATTTATCTCTAAGCTTCTATGATTCTTTTTTTTTTTCCTTTTTTGTCTCTTTTTTCGTGTCCGGCAACGGATTTCAACCCCCAGTGTTGCGCCCGCACCGGACCGGGACTGGCAACGGGATCGCAACCCTCAGTGTTGCACCTGCACCTCACTCAGCCAGTGAGCAGGAACCGGTCTGTATGTGGGATCCAAACCCTCGGCGGGAGCGCCGCCGCGCTCCCAAGCGGCGCACTGTAGCAGTGCGCCACCGGGCCAGCCCTAAGCTTCTATGATTCTGATTCCAAGGACAAGGTATATAGATTAGTTCCTAAGGTCTGTGAATACTGCTTTAAAATTCTATTGCAGCTGAGCCTTACAATCATATGAGCCACACGAAATTAACTTTCATATTTCCTCAGCTCCAAGGCCCTATTGATGGCAAGATGCACTATAATTTTACAATCCAAGAAAGAAGAAGAGAAACACTATCCATTAAAACATAACACAATTGCTTTCTGATCACTCAGAATTTTGATTTTATATTTATTGAAAGAAATAGTTTGGACTTATTAAGAAATAAGAAGGATTTTTTTTTCAGTATTTCAGTCTAGTGAGCTGTATAAAAGGAAATCATACTAGGAATTAATCAGTTAGGTTAGTCCTAAAACTTCTTTGTATTCATAGTCCAGATTTCCTGGATTGCTTTCAACTCAAATAAGATATCCTTATTTTCTCACAAGTGTTAACATTTGAAAAAGAAATGTACATATTAACATTGCTGAAACAAGATATGTACACTTGGCAAAACAAAAACTGGAAGAAACTAATAAAGCCATTATTTTATATTTAATTATGTTTTGCTCACACATTTATAAATAAACAAAACTTGTTGTAATAAAAAACAGAGAACATAGAAAAATTAAGCAAAAATAAATAATAAAGATAAAAAGAAACAAGCAAAAGAAAATAACTTGTAAAAAGGCTGGAAGTGAATGTAATGGAGGAGCTATAAACCTGGTGTTCCCTCCATGGGTCCTAGTTCCAACATGCCTCTTGAAATGTGAGCATCTCACCACCTGGAGCAGAATTTCAGAGCTTAAAAATAAATCATACTTTTGCCTTGAAACCAAAACTTTGAGTTTCAACTTCATCAGGTGTTCAACACAAGAAATGATAGTGGGTATGATATTGGAGGAAATCAGCGGAAATGGACTTCCCGTATAGCCATGGTGCCCACAGCCTTCGAGGGGACTTCTCTGGGGGTGATTTTGACTCTGCATGAAGTTTTGCCCTAAACATTGGCTTTAGAGCTCAATGACTGGGCAAGCTGGGGACTTCACCCTGTTTCAACATCAATCCCAGCTCATGAATCTTTCGGTTGTTGGGAAGGCAAAGCATTTCAGTTATGGAACATCACCTCCCATCTGTGATGACAGGAGGCAACCCACAATCTTCTAGGCTTTGGGGTATGGGCACAAAGTGGGCAGCGTGTGTATGTGGGGCAAGGGCAGGAGGACCACTCAGAGGCATTGGCCAGCATCAGATGCTAATGGACACATAGCAACTGAGTGAAGCACATAGGAAAAAGATGTGGTCCAGGGTGCCCTGAGGAGGTTCTAAAGAGATGGGCATCTTGTTTAGAACCACATTGCCATGACAGCCAGTCACTAGGTCAGATACCCAGGATTGAAGAGTGCTTGGTAAAGCCTGCATATCCAGCTAGGTGTGGTAATCCCACATCCTTCCAGCAGGAGAAGGGCACCTGGCTGTTTACACTCACCTCCTTTCCACTGCTGAGCCGCCTCCTTCTACCAGTGTACTGGAAAGTGTGAGAGAGATCTTAGTTTACATTCCAGTTCTGACAAATAGCGGCTATTGTCCTTGGTCAAATCAAATTACTTTGTCGGGCCTCTGTTTGCTCATCTGTAAAATGGGAGTAATGATAATACAATCTTAGAAGGTTGCTGGGAGAAGTAAGTGATCAGCTGGAATATAATACTAATAAGGGCTTAGCACATAGCAAGCACCTGAATAAAGTGTAATTATTGATATAGCATTAACACCATCTCCTTGAATGTCAGAGCTAGAAAGAGTTTTAGAATCAATATGCTTTATGCTATGTTTATTATTCCTGCTTTTGGCAAATATTGATTGAAGACCTCCTAAGTGCCAGGCTTTGTCTAGATGCTGAGGAGATAGCCTGGCAGAGAAGATAGAGGAGGCTCCTGTTGGGGATACAGACAGTAATGAACTCTTTTGTTTGCCTTCAAAGTCACATCAAAGTCTCCAGTTGCATGGTCCAGCGTCTGATCTATCAGGATGTCCTTGGGGGGAGGAGGGGATCATTAAGCTTCCTCAAGGAGGTGACAGCCGGACTGAGACCTCAAGAGTTTCGCTGAGCTGGGGGTGCTGAGAGAAGAACAATCTAGAAACTAGAGGATCATTCTATTCCTTCTCCTTAGCCCTTCACCTGAGATCTGCCAATTTCTGTCTTCCAAACATCTTTGGAACTAGAACACTCCCTCCATGCCTTCGTCCCCTTCCTGGGCTGACTAACCTCCCTTGGATTATTTCAACAGCTTCCAAACCAGTCTGCTTGCCTGTTTCTCCTCCATGAAGCAGCCAGAGGGATCTCTGTAGAAAGCAAAGGTAACCACGCCCTTCCCCTGCTGAACACCTTCTCTGTCTCTCCATTGCTGCAACACAAAGCCCTGATCCTTCCCACAGCCCACAAAGCCCTGCAGCATCCAGCCCTGCAGAACCTTTGATCTCTTCTCTCACATCCACCCCATCCTGTCCACTCCGCTCTACATGCAAGGCCCCATGCTCACCTCCTTCCTGCTGAGCCTTTGCACCTGCTCTTCCCTATGACTGACAGATTCCCTCTTCAACAGATCCCCACTCATGCCTCAGTCATGCATAAACACCCTTGGCCCTCCCTCCCCGGACCAGGTTAATCCCACCTGCTCCTGCGTCACAGTTACAAGCACTCACTTTACTGTGAAGGTTTGTCGGAGCCAAGACCAGCTTCCCCCACACAGACGCAGGGTCCTAGTCCTCCTGTTACCTCCTGAATCTCAGTGCCCAGCACAGAGTGCTCAGGAAATGCTGTTGCTAGAGTGTTATTAAACAAATGCCCCCATTCAGACTTTTTCCTTGGATCTACATTTCTCCACCCACAAAGGGACATTATAAAACACCCAGCCAGTGTTTGATCTGTGAGTTCATCAGATTTGTCATATGAAGTC